AATATTTGGCCCCCTTACATTTTGTTGATTCCTCTAAGCCCATGTTTTTCAGAGGACTTGCATGATTATCTGCCCCTCCCCTTCCTAACATGACTCACCAGTCTGCTCCACCTGACTCCAGTGGTCAGGGCCCCCCCCCCCAGCAAAATGATTTAGTGGCCCTAAGACACAAAAAGGGTCAAAACCCAAAACCCACACCCTTTAGGTGTGAATGAACAGCACACTGTCCACTTCATGTGAGGGGGCCGCCCATGTAAACTGCACAGCCCTCTCATCCCGTCCACGGTGAAACCAGCTTACCGCGCATCCCGTACGGCACTCCACCCACAAACATAAGGGGCTTGCCGGCAGATGCGAATTGTATCTGTAGAAGAGGTCATTTTCTGCAAATCATCCCAAGCCAGTTACACGGGAAATTTCCCAATATCCTGCGGCTGATGAAAGGTGGTTATTAATTATGAGGCCTCATCTCCTGCTTGTGGATTGGCCGGCCTGCCTGCCTGCCGGCAGCGGGGATGGGGGGGTACTTAGTGGGAGCCCTCTGCCATCGGCAGGCGCATTACCATCAAAATGCCCTCTCTGTCTCCCTCGCATCCCAAGATCCCGAGTCAGCTCAGCCCAGAAGGATCTGCTGACCCGCCTCCATGGCAACCAACCAAAGACCAGGAATAACACACCTCACCCCTTTTAAGAGAGAGAGGGGACCTTTCTGAATCCTCCAATTCCATAGGGGGACTAGCTCCAGCTGAAAGCTGATTGGTCCCTGGTGTGCATCCCCCCCTGCCGCTCACCAATTCAAAACATATCATTGGCTAATGATAAGGTTGACCCCTCTGTATATATTTTGGCCCATTTTATGCCCCCATGTCTGAAAGTCATGCTGAAATCTTTGTGTGTGTGTGTGTGTGTGTGTGTGTGTGCGTGTGTGTGCGTGTGTGTGTGGAGTTGGGGGTTATGTGTACATTACATTGTGGGAACCGGAGGACCAGATTTCCCAACAATGTGATAAAAACTAGTAACTTTCCACCTTGTGGGGACATTTTTTGGTCCTTCCAAGAACGGCCTCAATTTTATAAAAATCCATGACTGCAATTTAAGAACTTAAAATGCCTAAGGTCTTGTATTTAGGGCTGGGTAGGTGTTACGGTCATCATAACTGGGATTAGGGTTATGTTCATAGAAATTTATGGAGAGTCCCCACAAAGATATGAATACGGGGACTATGTGTGTGTATGTCTGGTTGTGTGGGTGTACATCTGAGGATCTCAGCTCATCCAATAAGGTCCGAGTATTGATGGTTTATTGATCTACTTTATTGGCTCTAACTTCATCTTACCCTCCCGCCTTTACGCTACTTGCAGTCATCCCTGAAGCCAATGACTGGTCATCTTAGAAAGCTATCTATGTTTCCCAATGGCCGGAAGGGCACCCTACTTCACAAACGGAGGGCGTTTTGCCCTGACCTCTGGCTCTGTGAAGAATCTCTTTCAGTAACACTCGAAAGGCATCAATGACTTTCTGAAGGATCCTCTTATATACTAACTTTTAGTTCTCGGCATTTGAAACACTGCCCCCAGGACTGCTGTTTAATCTAAGTGTTTGAAGGAAAATAAGAGAAGAACCATTGCCTAAATTGTTTTATGCTAGATTTGGTTAAAGCGATTACTTATCTATTATAAAACAGGATTTCATGAAAGTAACATGGACTTATGCAAATGACCACTGAGGTTTCCGCAGAGTCACTCCTGAGGACCTGAGGCAATTTTCCTTTTCTTTACTTTTGTTTAAGCACGAAAAGTTTCCCTGTTTCTTTGAAGATAATGCTAAAGCATTTGCTTTGATAATGCAAACGAAAGCCGTCCCCAAATTAAAATCCAGTGATGGGCATTCATTTCAAACCTTCAATTTTCATTTGCCTGATGATTATCTCTAAATTCAATGAAGTGCAGTTAATTATTGGATGTGCTGTGCCTCCTGATATAATATGCATTCACATTATGTTCTTTGGTTGTTTTTTTTTACTTTACTTTATGGTATAATTACATAGCTAGCATCCCCCCCAGATCAAAATAGTGTCTTTTTGCTATGATAATTAATTTATCTCTCTATTAAAGCAAATACATCATAATTCACACAAATATCAAGATTAAAATAAAAAACCTTACATTACTGCATGCAAAAATGGGTGTAATTTGCAGATGATTTGGAAGCGACAGTGAGATGATTTCAGTGTGGATGTGGAGTAGCCCAGTACTGATTTACCAAATCACCTTCTTCCCCGCACCGGTATGGTTGTTGGTGCGGGACCCGGACAGCCATGCCACTTTACCATCAATTGACTGTGCAAACCTAGAGCAGAAGTTCCGAGTGATTCTCCGTCTCTATTTAGTTAATTGTTTTCACTGCATTTCATTTATTCCAAAATGCTCCACCATCTCCATAAGGGTCATTTTGAAAGAGAATGTAATCATCGCGGGGGGGGTTGATTAAGACCATAAACACCTTTTAGTAGTATTGTTATTTATTTTTGCACTGATAAGGAATAGTACTATGTCTTCAGATCCTGCCTGTATGGTATCTTTCATGGCTGGTATTTCATAGCTGGTAGTAAAAACCCTGTTTGTCATACTGCTGTGTTTAAGTGCTGTTCTGTGTGCAGGGGTAGTATGGACACGAATGTATGGCGATAGCGTGAGAGTCACAAACTTGTGGGTGCTGCCGTGGACGCTGGGGAGGTGTGAAACGCACTGCGACACAGGGAGGCACCGGGGAGATCACACACGCCAGGCCAGGAGCCATGTAGCGTGTGGGCGTCGCGTGTCAAGCACACGCCGGTAGCGCGAGTTGGCGGCTGACGGATGGCGGAATGACTGCGGACAGGGGACTCGCCCAGCTCTTGGACGCCTGCTCTTGCGGCCCAGTGGATGCTGACTTACTGCGAGTTCCGCTGACCGAGGACGTAGCTTGACATTGATTTGCGGCTATTAGGATGGATCTGCGGTTGATTCCGACAACAACTTTGCAGCCACTCAGATTTGCCTCCACGCCGCTAATTTGCTCAGAACAGACTGTGCTTCTCTCTCTTACTCCTGCATGTAATTACTGCCTTTTGTGTTCCGCCTTTTGTTCACATCTCTGACTCACCGCTGTAAGGTTAGAGTGCAGAAACGGCACGCTTTGGCAGGTGTGCATTAGTGCCACTTTTAAATAGACATTCAGAAAAATCAAAATATCAAATCGTAACCCTGATTCCTCTGAGCTCCTTTCAATGGTTGAAGAAAACAACGCCCACATAATCTATGCGGGAAAGGGCATTAATGTAGCTGAAGGTGGCTGATCGGCCTTGAAGTGCTTTCTGCGTACTGCAACCCCCACCCCCACCTCCAAGTAGCTGATGGAAGAATTATCAAAGGTGTGACATTTCTCTCCACTCAATCTCCAACGAACGTAAGCTGAAGCATTTTCTTGATCTCAATGCAAACTCTGTGGTTCAGGTGGAGTTTGAAGTCTGCGTTGTATTGTCCAGCCCTTCACCATCTCCCCCTTCGTAGGGGAGGGTCCGGGGGTTGTGAAGCAGCACTTCCTACAGGTGAGAGATTTCTCTAGTTGGTGGTAGAATTACTATGGAGCTCTGAGTGCAGTTTCTAAATGAAGCGGCTCTTATGGTGCTTGTTGGAGGGCACTGGCTATGTGTGGAGGCACTGCAGCAGACTTGGTGTGACTACTGTGATCAAGAGCTGTAGAGTACTACGTTAGAATGAAAACTGGGGAGGGAGATAGGCTTTATTGGACCCGTGAGTGGCTGGCATTCTGTCCAAAGTGTTCCACTGCCCTGTACTAGATAAGTAATTGGGATGGATGGATGGATGGATGGATGGATGAAGAACCTGTTGCAGTCCTCCTCCTATGTCTTCTTCTTCTGTTAATGCTGGATACATCTTGCACATGAAACTGACTATAGCACAGATTTGTGTAAGAGATTCAAAAAAACCAGGAGCCTTCTGCCATTTCAATGTCTGCACTTTTGGTGAGTGGCCCTTAGCAAACCTAGGCTGATCCTGAACAAAGAAACATAGCCTGGCGTTAGTCATAGATCAACTCAGAGTCAATGTGTCCATCGTCCCCTGAGCGTGTAGCTACACACTGTTGCTTCAAAGGAGGACCATGTTCTTGGTGCTCCATAGACATCATATTCCCCTTCTTGTCTGGATGCTGTTTATTATCTGGATGCTCATTGAAAGTGTTCCCTCCAAGAAAAAGCAAACAGGCAGTTGCTGGTTTGGAGGAAGGACCTGCCTTTGACAGATCATGACATCCGCATGATGTTTCACGTTGCGTGCTCATTTTTCTGCTGCTGTCTGTCATCTTGACTCCGCATTGAATCTTGAAATCTAAAATTTGAGTGAGATTCCACTTTAAATCTCAACTTCTTTTTCATTCATTTCAAATTACTTTATGCAAAAACAGCAGCATTGTTAAACTGAACTCTAGAGAATATGTTTTTGTTGTTTTGTTTTGCTGTGGTATTTCTAAACTGCAATTCACCTCGATGTTGTGAAATCAAAAAGATAAATTCTTTCAAAAAAAAAAAAAAAAAAAAACAAAGAAATCATTCCCCGCTGTGAGTATGAATGTCTAGTTGGGTGCGATCTTCTAACAAGCTTTCCCTTCATTGGACCAATTACTCTAGGTTACTATGGTGATGAGGCTTCAAGCTGGAGTTCTGGAACTCTTACTCTCTTTTATTATCTGCTGCCGGCTCCCCAGACAGTGATCCCACACACACGTGCACAGACACACGTCAGCCCAACCATACATGCTACCCCTCCAACTACTCCTACCTAGCTCCGTGAAGAACATCTCACAGCAAGATATATTACTCTTCAACGTGGTTGCGTTTTTCTTTGCGTTTATCGTTATATTTACATAAATGTATGAGTATTACGCATCCTGCTTTGGGGTCGATATCGTCTGTGACCTCATTCCTTTGCCTCCTCCAGCATCTGGCTGGCCGCCCAGAGCCACCATGACCGAGAGTCGAAGGGAAGCCCTGGCGGTCGCACCCGCGCCGACCAGCACCTCCTCCGCCTCCGCCGCCTCCAACAGCACGGAGGCCACCGGCCAGGGCACGGGCAGACCCAAGGACGAGGCTTTCTCCAAGCTGAAGGACAAGTTCATGAATGAGCTCCACAAAATCCCACGTGAGTACCTGAGCCTGGTGAACAATTCAATACTGTTGATTGGATGGATTTTATGTAGCTAAATACATACCGTATTGTGCAAAAGTCTTAGGCAATCAAAGAAAATGATGTTTAAATGATGTTCATGTTGGTGTAAAACTATGGTATTATGTTTGTGTGTCAGCTTAGTCATCTCCAAACCTCTCCTAAAGTCACCCCAGGATTTTCAGCAATCGTCCAGTACACACACGTATTTTTCGACAAGACCATTAACATTCCTTGTTTGGCTAATCAATACCTCATTCTTTTACTTAACTAACTACAGTAATTAATGAACAGAGCTGGTGGTGAAATTTAATAGATACATGGAATGGCTGAGGTGCCCCTGAGGAGAACTGTTTGGGAACTGAAGTGGTGTTCATCTAACCAGCCAGCAAGATATCAATAACGTTTTGAAGAACAGAATAAATTCTTGCTTATTTTTTATTGTTACAGTTAATTTCCGTATGTTGTAATGTTGTATGCTGTATTTTTCCTGAGCAAATATACACTAACTGTCCAGATTGAGCTTTAAATCTTTTCTTTGACTGGCTAAGATTTTGCGCAGTAGTGTATCTCAGATGTCACACAGCCTGGGATTTTTTATGAAGAATGTGAATGAGAGGAGGGATTTACTGGCTGATTTTAGTACACTTTTGGTGCCTTTTCATTCCCATGAATTTGCTCCTCTACAAAAGCACCATGCACATCAAATAAGTATGGAAAGTTTTTTCTAGAAAAATGCTGAGAACTGAAGTGTCTGAGGGACAAATGTTTGCCACAGTTCTTTTAGCAGATTTACATGAAAGAATGCCAAAGGCAGGAAATGATTCTTGTTTCTTTCGAAAATAACTTTTCCCATAAATTACACCAATTAAGCTCCGGCATCCGGCTTTTCGCGAGCGAGCTCCGGTTAAGCGCTGGCATCGACTCCAACCGAACGCGCAGCTGTTCTCCCCGGTCCCGTCGAAACTCCTCAGACGCCATCCTAACTACCCGTTTATTCGTACAAAAAGCAGGTCGGTGGCCAATTTTCTCCACTTTGAAGCAGTCGCTGGGAGACCGTGTGGAAAGCAGTGAAGCAGTGCTTTGCAGAGAAGCTACAAGGGTCTCCCGGAGGCTCGCGAAACCAACTGTGATAGTAAAACGGGTTATCCGTGGAGGCGTCTGCAATGTTAATGCGTCACGCTGCATAGCGGTATTATTACTATTATTATTTAATCATCTGACTGATGCTCTAATTTGGAATGGCTTACACGGTCATCACGGCACAGCACGACTCAAGAAATCTGGCTACTTCCCACGTCCGTAGTTACACAACAATTACATTAAGCGTGGCAGGCGACATGTCCGTGCCGTGGAACCAGCCGAAAACACCTCGCGGCAAAAGCCATCCCGTTTCGAGCATGCTGTGCACAGACGTCAAATTCCTGCTGATGTGGGTTGACTCTGGATGCAGAATTATCCGGAAGGTATAGTTCTGAAAGACTGGATTTGGATACCTGGGCTCCTGGGCCGCTTTGGGGACAGTACAGAAGCTAAAGTTGGTCTGTGGCTCGCCAGTGATCGCTGTGCAAGTGATTCTGCTGGGTGATAAGCTAGCGTAGCGCGGTGGGTAACCAAGGCCCGTTTACCGATACGCTGCTGTCACAATTGCGTCGGCTTGCAACTCTTGGCGACCCATGTGCGCAACTCGTTCCTCCCCGAGGGCGCAATTACGGCACCCACTTCCCACTTCCCACTTCCCCGGCGTCTTGTGGCTCCTTCCGGGGAACGGACCCGCGCCGTCTGTCTGTTATATTGTCGGCCGCCCACCGGGAATGAAATTGCTCCATGTCCCCTTGCCCGCTGGCTGTGAAAGAAACCCATATCTTCTGCAAAGGAGGTGATGAGGCCTTTTTAAAACTACATAATGGCATCTTCAAGCATCTCATACCACGCGTCGGAGCACTGCATCCCGTCGTTCAGCAGCGATAAGGTTATATATGAAGGGAGCATGTCGTAAATTCGCCACTAGACCTGTAGGGTAGTTAAGCAGACAAGACAGAACACAACCATCCCCATCTCTCTGCTGTGGTCTCCAAGACGTCTGGTCCAGCCGTCACCGTTTACCTAAATTCTTACTGTGCCTCATTACATGCTCCACGTTGGACTGGTATCCCGTCCAGTGTGTCCCCTGCCTTCTGCAGCCTAGGATAATCTTCAAGCTCACAATGACCCTGTCCCAGACAAGCATTTATGGAGGGCGGATGCATGGATGGATGGATGGATGGATGGATGGATGAACCTCATGAGATCAGATGAACTTTTGTATGAATAATAGTAGAAATCACCCCGCAGCAGTAGATCTGTCTGAGCAGATTGGCTGTCTCCAGGTTTCTGCTGCGTTTATAATACTTATTTACAACACCTACTCTCTAACCAGCTGAAAAAAAGTGTTGAGTCGCCCATACCTTCGATGTGTAAAGATCACTGTCAGAGCTGGAATTATGGAAATCGTGGTGTGATAATGAAGACCCCCAAGCCCCTAATCGCTCACAACTTGAGGGACGGACTGTTACGTAATGTCACATCTGTGACCGCTAACCCTTATAACAGTACACTGTAACGTAACAGTATAACTTAATATCTGTGGCTTTTTTAAAATAAAGGGTCAGTTTTAGCTTTCAATTAAGCTTAATACGTTAGTGCTACCATGCTAACTAGCTACATTAAGTTTGCCTGAAATGTCACCTGCAGAGGTGGCAGATGGCATCACCATTTACAGTCACTCCAAGGGTTAGTGCTAAATGCAGCTCACCGAAAATCTCTCCAGCTGGCCACGTAACTAGTTAATTTAATCTTCCCGGGTACTTCCGACTTAAATTTTTAAGGTACCTTTGTGCTGTAACCAACCATGAAATGTCTACAAAGCTACATCCCACCAATCTTGTTATTGTCACTCTTAACAACCGGCAGACTCACATTTTAACGTTTGAGACTTTCAATTGTATATTATGTTTGATCTTCTACCAGCAGGTGTTTTGCACGACCAAATTATCGGGGTAAGGGATTTTCAGTGCAAAGCTATGTTCTATTCATAAATGTGATTTTGAACTGAGACGTTCCGTCAACTTTGAGTGGTTCAAATCGAACCCCAGCTCTCCATATGAGTTCCTGAATCTCCTTCTATAGTCCACAGACGCAGCTTGGATAAGTCATTCAGTGTCAGGCTAAATAAAGGTGAGTGGTGGACGGGTGTATCCTCCCAAATCAGGACCACTCCAACTGGGCAATCTGTTAGTAGAGGAGTAGGCAACCCTGAGCCTGGACTGCCAGTATCCAGCATGTCTTCTATCCTACCTGATCAATTGTGGTTCATCAGAGACCTGGTAGGGTGGAAACCCTGCTGGGTACCAGTACTCCAGGGTCAAGGTTGCCCATCCCCAGGGGAGTAGCTAGACATTCGGGGCCCCGCGACAAACTCACCTTGGGGCCCCCCTTTACATTATATAATGGTATCCACACCTCTCCAATATCCCTCCCTATCCCTGAGTTAGTGATACAGGATGAACAGCCCAGTCGGATATCTACCTTCTTAAAGTTTAAGATTCAAAAATTCAGTACCGCAATAGTGTGGATGCCCATTTCGTGGTTTCCATGTCATCACAGTCACTTACTGTTCCATCCAGCTGGGACGAGTGCCGAATCCAACACAAGCTAATAGGTCATCGTGCCTTGCGATGCATATCTCATATGCATGTGTCCTTTAATGGGCTTTGCCATTAACACAATCTTCAGATGTTCATTAGCCTTGTCAGTCCCCATGAGCTCTCATTAGTACACATATACACAAACACTTGGGGCAAATGTTGAGTGATTAGGGTCAATCAACAATATATGTTTTATTTTGGAATGTAAATAAGTTACCAGCAGAGAAAACGCATTGAAATTATTCAATTTTGCACTGTGACAAGATAGCCAAGTCCATTAGTGTTGGCATTGTCATTGAAATGACTGCAGATTCCGACTGTGTGAGTCAGTTTGTTTATGCTGGCGCTCTGTTATTGCAGGAAATGTCATTTCATACACGATTTCATTTAAAATGGTACATATCAGTGATTCACACGGCAGTGCTGCTGTCGGTGCTCAGAGCCTTTTAGGCTGAAATGTGCGGCTAAAGCATTGAAGCTGACATACTGAGTGATTAATACCTCTGTGTCTCTTATGGGCACTAAAATCACAATATATACATACTTTGTGCTGCCGGGACACTGCTGGTCAACACTGTTTTACTGACTTCCGGGTTTTCTGATAGAGGTCACAGGTGCTGAATGTTTAACAATCTGAGCTTGATGAGCTGCTAGTCACATTAACGTTCTGCCAGGCCTCAGTCATATATATTTACCAATTTCCCTATGGGTAATAATTTGTATTTTAGCGTTCTCCATAAAAAGCTAGTATATCAATATAAGTTGTATTACACCTCATGTAGCAGCCTTTTTGAGCTTAATAATATGGTCTCATTACCTTTCATATTTTATCAGTTTTAAACACGCAGCACTAATAATCTGAAATAGAGAGTAAGTCGTCATATATAAATAATACATGCAGGAGTCTAATCTTAGCCGGCCTAATCTAGCATGGCCTTGACGGCATGTCAAGAGAAGCGTCCGTCTTTTGGAAAGAAATACCCCCATAATGGAGCGTTTCTCAGTGAATCTCTGTTTCCCAGCTTGAATAATCCTTATCTGGGTGGCAACGGGTGCCGTATCTGGCCGTCTCGACTCTCGGATTCCCTCCGCGGCGCCTAATCCGAGGGAGCGTCCTCGCGCCGCTAATCCGTGTTGATAAACCCCAAAATTCCAGATAAAGATTAAGCTCCACTGCACCTGGCAGAGCTACACGCCTTTCGCCAAAGCCATTAACAGGACGTATAGGATCCTTCCCAAGCACTGGCCTGTACAAATGTCATGCCATCGTTTTGATTACTTTAAATGACATTTGTTTTGAATGCTGGGGTTATATGGAAGCCTCATAGCAAGGCCGTGGATTTGGGTTTGGATGGTAGGAACATCTACCGACCTCTACCAACAGTGTAAGAGTAACATCTGTGTTTAAGGGGGCAGGCAATTCGGGCTGATTTGGTCCCTGCCAATGCTGAAACCAAACCAGCACCCTTGACTCATACAGAGTAATTTGTCAATAAAAAATGATATTAATATGATATGGGCTACAAGTTGCACCTGGAGCAGTATGAATATGAGCAGTTAAATTTGCTCTCGTAAACTAGTTTGCATGCTGATCAGGTATCAGAATTATTTTTTTCCCCTCATTTCCATCCATCTGTTAGGTTTTAGATTTAAGAAGATCCCAGTATAATTAGCTGGGGGAAAAAAAAAACCACAATTGGTGTCTAGCTCCGAGTCGACCTCTCTGGCGCGAGTATCATTACTGCGACCAAACCTTGTCATTACTGATACCCCACCCTGTCATTAATACCATTGCCCTTGTCCTCAGTGTACTCTTGCTAATACCATGAGATGGTCATTACTGATACATCCAGAATACTATTGCTATCCCCATTACCGGTTTGGGAAGCAGGTCATTACTGTAGCTGGCACAAGGCCATAGGATCTGCTATCTTTGAACTTCATGTTTTTTCAGGGGATTCTTCGTATCGATTTTGTCAGCTGCCCATTGATTTCTCCCACTGCCTCAGACTGAGAAATCAGCCCTGCGTCAGCAGCTTCTGCTGCTTCCATTTGGGGCTGATGTCGTCTCAGCCCCTCAAAGGCGCAGAGACTGATTACCCACAATCCATTGTGCCGCTCTTCGTGTCTGCACTGTGAAAACCTGCACACCTTTTTTTTTTTTTGAGGTGTGGGGAATTAACATCAATGTACTCCAGTGAGTTTTTTTGTATCTTTTTTTTTATTAGTTTTTATTCATCAGCTAAGATTAATGAATTCAGTCAAATGTACTGTGGTTAATTGGATTTAAATGGAATGCTTGAGTAATTTAGCGTTCCAGTGTTACCCATTCCAGGGTCTGCAAACTACAAGCAGTCATTGCTGGTGTAGACATGCAAGCAAAGGATATTCTGCTTCTGTGACTGCTTACACCTTTATGAACAGGAATACCTGCCATCTATTCCACTCCTAAAGGGCCTCAATATCACCTTGGTTCTTCTTATGCAAGGTTATGCTTCAAGGGAGCTTTGTGATGGCCGTTTAGGGGATATTGAGGTCCACTTTTCAGACAAGTACAATGATCCTGCATTTGCAAGTAGCCCGTGTAGGATGCAGCTTTCTGGAGTAGGGGTTGTGGAGGATGTGCTGCTGATGTGGTTTTCAGACTCGCTGTGTGCTCGTTTGCAGTGCCGTCCTGGGCCATCGTCGCCATCGCCTTTGTGGCCATCCTCCTCATCCTCACCTGCTGCTTCTGCCTCTGCAAGAAGTGCATCTTCAAGAAGAAGAATAAGAAGAAAGGCAAGGAGAAGGGCGGCAAGACCGCCATCAACATGAAGGATGTCATAGAAGGCACCAAGATGGAGGTAAAAACACTTTGTTCCTGGATCCTCTTCCTGGCCCACCGCCATTAACACTCTCTGTTTCCCTTCACTGGAAACAGAACCAAAAAATTATAATGCAGCTTCAAATCCAACAAATATACATATAAATAAAGTTACCCCCGCAAAGGTCCCTTGTTTGTAACTGTTCCAGTTTAGGAGTTTCTTTTAGACACTCCACATCAGACAGTCTGCATCCATATTGTTATTAATGAGAAAAATCACAATGTGGCCACTAAGGGATTATTGTAAAATATGCTGCTTTGTGTCAGTCAAAGGGTGTCCTCAATGAGCATTTTGGCTGCACAACTCTCACTTCAGTTGAAACTGAAAGAAACGCTTGGTAGCACTTTACATTAACTGCACCTTCATAATGCCTTTATAATGCATTCGTAGAACATTCAGTGCACCTTCATAATGAATTCATAGAACAATAATAAGCAGCATGTAAGTATACGTTAATATCCTAATGTAGCTTAATATACATTAATAATAACATTATATGATAATAACAAACATTATAATCATATAATGCTTGTTATTAATAGTAAAACAGTTGAGGTATGTTAGGATGTTAAGGTATATTTACATGCAGCTTATGAATGTTCTATGAATGCATTATGAAAGTGCACTGAATGTTCTATGAATGCATTATGAATGCAGTATAAAGGTGCACTCAATGTAAAGCATTACCAATCGTTCTTGTCCATTGAGTGTCTTGGTCGGCCGGAACAATGTCCCTCCTTGCCAGGAAATGCTCTTTTGATTGAATGTCATGTCTGGACTTTTTGCTCTTTAATTCCAGTGAGAAAATCTCATTCTGTAGCTGAAATATATGTGTTATTGTTTTAGCATTTGATTTTTTTCTTTGCCTTCTCTTGGTTGCAAGATCAAGATCATTAATAGTAGCGTCATACTTTTTCAACTAAGCATCATGTTATGAAATGTAACTTGCTACTAACCTCGAGAAATGACTCAGGAGTAATTTCACCAATTTAAAAAAAAATATGAAACACACAGGATGCAGTGAGCCTGAATAATTAAGTGACTTGTAGCACATTCCATTTGATTGACAGTGAGACCATTTAAGAGTATCCTATATCTTTAAAGCAGTTCTATGGCATATTAATTAGGGGCCCAAGCAGTGGTAGCTGCTGGATCCCTGTTGTTTTCGTCTTGATAATAATATTAATACTACTACTACTACTACTACTACTAATAATAATAATAATAATAGTGATTATTATTATTATTACTGTTGTTATTATTATTATTATTATCGATGTTATTCTTCATCGCAGCTATTTTTGGTGCCATTTGGGTACTATTTTCAGTCATCATTACTTATCAATGTGTATTCCAAATTCAACTTTTCTGTCATGAAATTACATTTCAAATAATAAGGCAGTCTTTTAAATGGTCTTTAGTGGAATAAAAGAAAAAAAAAACATGAAAAAAGAATGAAGTTTAGCCATGTATAATGCGCATTTTCAACGTGTTCACCTACTGTAGAACGTCTAAGTCATAACCAGATGCAGGCAGATTTGACGGTAACGGAATTAGAAGATGTCATCCATTGTGTAAGCCCTGAATATTTGTTAGAGGATACATGGATTTAATCAGGATTTATGTGGAGCATGAACGCTATGTGATAGTGAAGCCGAGGGCACTGTGTCAGTCTTTTGCTTGGTATGTCTATCTGAGGTTGCCTCTCTTGTGTGCGGTTGTTTTAATTTCTGTTTCCTCCTTCTATGTCCTCCTTATCTGTCTTGTGTCTGGTGACTGTACGGGATTGGCACTGGCGGTAGGTCACCAATTGATGTTGGATCTTCTTTCTAAGCCTGCTGTTCTGGCTCTTAGCCTCTAGAGAGCAACTTACTCCCATACAACACAATATATGCAACCGTATCCTACATGTATGTCTGTTTCTCTATACACATAAATCATTTCTAGATGCACTTTGACAAGGCTGAACTAAGTTGATCTTCCTGGACATGACACTTTAGGTTTCCTTTCCGAATCTCAGAGCTACCAGTTATTGCTACGATCAACAGCTCTCTCGAGGGACGCCAAAGTAGGTGTCGTAGCTTTATAGATGTGTTTAATAGCAGCTCTGCCTTTAGTTTATGAAATGACATAAAAACTTGTCCCCTTTGGGCAACTTGAGGCAGACTCTTAAAGAGAAAACATCGTCAAGCAGCTAGTTTAGGAGTAAGTCATTCTATGACAAACACAGTTGTCATGTTGATGTCATGGTTGGCTTTCCTGCCTGCTCGCAGATGAGACAGATAGGAGCCCATTCAAACCGACAAAGGGGAATCAGTTTCGTTCAGCCTTTGTGATCCTACACCAGCAACCTGGACACTAATATCATGGGATTTCCATATCTTCCCGTATCGGTGCATTCCGCTAGCATGACGCTTCCATGGCCGTGATATGAGCACAGCTGAGATTTATAGTATGCAAATATACTCTGACTCATCTTAAGATGAATACAGTTTTGAGGGTGGGGTCAAGGGTGGGGCAGGGGTGGGCACTTTTGAGAGAATGACCTGCATGACCAATAGGATGGCTGCCATTTTGTTGGCACCTCAGCCATAGGGACCAAAACTACCGCCTCAACCGCATGCCTCTCAGTGACAAACAGCCATGTAGCCATTGAGCACAGGGATAGCAAGGAGTTTCCGCTTCCCCCTCCATCTCCCAGACATTCGCCCGAGTTGGTTTGCTTCTGCACCACAACAGGCTGCTTGATATAAGACCAGGGTGCACTGCTTGTGCTCCCTCCTGTAAAAGATGATGTGACCTTGCCTGCCCATGTCCGCAGACCGAATGAATGCGCGCGGTGCGGCGCTAGTGCATCATCCAGCATGCCATGACGTTAACTCCAGTGTTGTGTTAGCGCTTGTGTCCCTGAGCAGAAGCCTCCCGGAGCAGGCTCCCGGAACGACTGACGGCCAGCGGAAGCCTGAGGACTGACTGTTGGTGGGTGTCTCCTTCAGGCCATGAAGGATGAGGATGATGCAGAGACAGGGCTGACGGATGGGGAGAAAGAGGCGGAGCCTAAGGAGGCGGAGAAACTGGGCAAATTGCAGTACTCCATGGATTACAATTTCACCGAAAACCAGGTAAGGAGTTTCCTCCTTTCTGTCTGCCGCTTGAGAGAGCTCCTGTCGTAAGTATGGTCATCCACCTGCCTCCTCATCTTTACTGGATTCATTTCCATGCTTGACACAGCAGAATGATGGCAGGCTACATGCGTCATACTTTGGGAAGCACTTCTGGCTGAGCAGTCAGTTTCCTCTCTCGCGCTGCTGCTTGAGAAAGTCCACGCTTGTCCATATATTTGAGACGACACAGTGATGGGGATGCCAGGTTTTAAGTGAACTTCCAAAACACTCTTTACATCTGGAATTGCGTTCAACAGACTCCTTAGCCTGAGAAATCATTCACAGAAAGCTAAGGGTACCTCAGCCTTCTGCAGACAGCATTTTTGGGTCTCAAAGTGACCTGATGTAGATGACTAACAAACTGCCGTTTCCTGGTGATACTTTCAGAGAATTGCTTCATGTAGTTAAAATGACTGGATTCATAACTATCCTTAGTCTATCATGTTCCACTAGCAGGAGATGACATTCTCCTCCATCGCTCTCCATCGTGTTCTTTTTGTGGATGGTGGTTGTCCTGTGCATCTGATCCAGACCTGTCCTGATCTCTGTTTACCTTCCTTCAACTTTCCCTGTGGAAAGTGATGGGTTAATGGCTGAACCCAGTAGAGTGAGGTGTTTCAATTTCCCGCATACATCCCAGGTTCACAGCCGCATGGTTTTCAGCTCCGACACCTGGGCAGACTTTGCATGCCATTCGCTTTTATGCTCAGTGCTCCCTGGAGCCATAATTGCAAGTGTTCATTTAAAACGGATGGATGGACCTCATCTGTGAGTGGAGGCCAGCCACGGCCTGCCTGGAAGGCGTCGGCACTTGGAACCAGGCTTGATGGTCTTGATCACTCCCAACTGTCTGAACAATGTCAGCTTGATTGGAGGTTGATTTATGGGCTGAGGGGCCACAGAGACTAAAGAGCAGCAGCTGCTCACATTTGGAGGCCAGGTCAATCTGCCAGGACCTCAGATGCTATCATTTATGAGGACGATGTCTTTGAAAGCCTTCAAACCGCCGATAAACATTTATTCCACTTGCCTCCACAAGCCTTTTACAGGTTTACTTACACATCTCATTAATTAACACTAAATATCTCATATAAAACACCATAGTAACTCAGAGAAAAGATCATTAGCAGTATCAATGTCCATTCAATTGCTGGTGAAAATATCATACGCAAAAGAAGTCAGTATTCAAGCTAGCATAGCAGGGAATCTCCTTTATTTGAAGTCATGGTAAAAGCTTATTGAAACTAATGTGCTTTCAACACCCCCAAGATAAAGCTGTCCTAGAAATTAATTTGATTAGGGCTTTGTGGGGTGTGACTGCACCCTGCTTTAACAGGGCAGCCCCCGGGGCGGTGCTGGTCACAGGGACGGGAAGGCCCACCCCTGGCCTTGTTGAACATTAAGGCTCTTTAGTGTCCACCGTAGTGAGGTTCCAAAACCCTGGTCCTTTGTCGTCATCACTCTCTACTGTGAGGTTCTCAAACCCTCATCATTTCCTGTCACCATTCTCCACCTTTGTCATTCGGTGCCACTCCTCCTCGGTGAGGTTCCTACATCCCGCTCCTTAGATTCTGCTGTCCACCGGTACATGGTGCTGAGACAGTGGTCCCTTGGTCTTGCTATGCACTGTGATGTGCCACTGGAATCCCCTTCGTTGCACTAAACCACCATCCTCTGTGCTGTCCTCCTCCACAGCTCATCGTAGGAATCATCCAGGCCGCAGAGCTACCTGCTATGGACATGGGAGGAACCTCAGATCCCTACGTCAAAGTGTATCTGCTACCAGATAAGAAGAAGAAGTTTGAGACAAAGGTCCACAGGAAGACACTCAACCCCTGCTTTAATGAACAGTTCATCTTCAAGGTAGGGGTGGAGTTCGCTTTCCCATGGTGCCGTTAAAGGCAATGTGTTACATTTCTAGCTGTTCGCAATTCATCTTTTCTGTTGCAAACGAAATTAAGATCTAGAAAGCCATCATATAAATGTGTGTTCATTACTTTAGAAGTCCTAATTTGCATATCATTCCAGACTCATGTATATTAGGAAAACAGTGACAAGCTGCACCACTCACATCATTTTAATATACTGGATAGACTCGTTGCCAATAACGTGAGCCAGGTCTTGGTTTGGATGGGAAAATGGATCAGCAGATTGAACCATGAGCTGGTCCCCAGACCTGTTAGGAATTCCGTGTGAATTTTAATTGAGTAATTAACCATCCAGAAGAGCTTGGAATCTGTAATAAGCAACGATGTCAGAGGTATGATTGCTGACCGGCCTCTCCAGCCTGGTATGTTGATGCTGGTGAGAGAGGGAATATCACATCCAGTAATAACACCACCCATCCCCCCAGGTGCCCTACACCGAGCTGGGGGGGAAGACGCTGGTGATGACGGTCTATGACTTTGACCGCTTCTCCAAGCACGACGCCATCGGGGACGTGAGAGTGCCCATGAACAAGGTGGACTTCAGCCATGTGACAGAGGAGTGGCGCGACCTGCTGAGCGCTGAGAAGGAGGAGGTGCGGGGGGGGGAGGGCACGTACACATGCCGAACACGCAGCTGCGGCACTGCGCCACTGCCTTGCTGTCACCACTATCCTGCATTTTTCAAAATTGCATCTAAATATTCCAACTGGCTTTGGAAGGGAACGCTCTATGTGTGTGTGTTAGGGGGGGTGGGGTGGGGTGGGGGCGTCCTCTAACGCCATAGACTTAGATTGCTCAACATTTTTTCAATTTGTGGACACCTTCATCTGCAAATACTCCAAAGATTGTATATGTGATACAGTTTGAAAATTATTTCAGCCTCGTAATACAATTTGTTGATGTAAGATTAGTCAGTAAAAAAAATAATATTAAATATTATACTGTGCGGCAGGAAGCTCCGAAATTTGAGAAAGTGGAAATTAGTGGGAATTAAAGTATCCGAACGTCGAAAAATAAATCGTCTCTTACCAAGACTGAGCTGCTGCACACAAACTGCTTGCACCAGCCTCCAGGGGTCCGACCTGCTTCTCATCCCGTCATTAATCAACGTGTGACTCCCTGCGCTCAGGTCCAGCCATCGCTCCGCACGTCGTGTTTGGGGTACACTTCACCGTGGAAACCACGCTTTTAGCTATAGATTGCGTAAGTAAAGGTTAATTGGAAAATTGTCTAATCCTTTGTAAGAGCAGGAGGGTCAGGATCTCGTACAGCCGCGGTGAGATTCGCCGCGTTTCCCTGACACGGCGCGATGTATCATTAGCTCTTTCTCACATTCTCCGGCAAGTTGTATTTTTGCCTTAACATGTTAAAGCAATTTACTGTAACCGGATTTCTGTAATCGACTTGAAAGTTATTGTTCTCTGGCGACAGTTCTCTGAATATGAAAAATGAATATGAATTTAATTCAATTTAAAGCATTAAAAAAAGCAATGTAAAACAACAGGCAGCTCTCAGTCAAGCCTCAGCGACGTTGATAACATGTCACGGCTAACAAATGCACATTTACTGCTGAGGTTGTATTGCCCCCCCCCCGCCGAAATAACCTTAAGTAAGTGACAAATACAGGGAGACGCATTCACGCTGACGTGATCTGCTGCCTCAAGTGTTCCTGCGAGAAGATCCCGTCCATCTGGGGTGAATGAAGCCCATAATCTCCTAAGCAGCAGGCGGCAACTTCTGTCCACCTGCTGACTCTGTGTCTGTTCACGCTCCGGCAGAATCACGTATTCGGCCGCCAGACACCCCCCTCCCCCTTTACCCCCACCCTCGGCAGGTTGAATTTCATTGGTGCTGGTGGCGGGGGGTGGCTGAGCGAACGCCAAACTGCTTTTCTTCGCGCCCCATTTTCGTGACCACGGATTATCGGCTCATGGCGCCATCGTGGTCTTCCGCGATGTTTGACTTCTCGGTCGGGAGCAACGTTCCCGTTGCCCCCCCGGATGACGGAGTGATAATACAGCCTGTCGGCTTGCTGGGTAGTAAAGGGGATGCTGTTAGACAGGGTGCTCATTTCAACTGGGATTTTACTCATGTTTTACTGGGGAGACAGGGAGCATATCTCCAGGGTTGCCACCCCTCTAACATCTAGCGTGACGCTCATGTTTTCAGACTCTCACGCTCATGCAAGAAATCTCATGGCAAACATACATTATTCCATTATAAACCAATAATAAAAGCTACATCAAAAGTGCTGGGGCAGTTTGCAAACTATTTACAGACTATTTACAAGGTAATAAAACTGTTATATATGTGTAAATGCGTGTGCAGCCTGGCCTCGAATTGAAAATCTCACACCAGCCAGCTGACCAAAGTTAGCAACCCTCTATGTAATGTATATAATGCATATATTGTGTTATTTGCCTCACTTGTATGTCACAAAAGTAAATAAATAAAAGTAAATTTAAATAGATATCAGAGAGGGTCGGAACCTAAAAGCTGCTGGTTGATCTCCTAGGAATGTGTCATGCTTTGGCACCCTGGACCCTGGTACTTAACCCCTGGACCCAAACCATGTTCTCTTTGGTCTCCATGGGTCCAGCAGAATGCACAGCCCATCCTCTGTGTCAGGGTGTCTCCAAGCAGACATGATTAGATTTCTAGACACAATTCTTTACTTTGTTGTTTAATTGTTTAAGACAAAGACAAATGTTTAACGAAAGGAAGACCCCAAACTTTACACTAATACATAGTATAGAAACATCAAGAGATCTGTATTTGTGAGCTTCATGTTTCCAGTCTCTGTTCTGATGTTTTTTACTGAGTATCTTGGTTTAAAAGAGTAAAAAATGAAATTGCAACTATGGATAATATACTTTAGGAGTAAATACAAGCCAGTAAGCTGGTTCTCCCACGTTCCAGTGAGAGAAAACCGAGTTTTTATTGTCCACAGGAGAGCCTGTGCAGTCAACAGTCATTACCGGAGCTGAACGCGCTGTCCTCTTAGCGTTAGCATTAGCCTGATCTGACTTCTCTATCTGTCTGTTTCTTCTTCACAGCAAGAGAAGCTGGGTGACATTTGCTTCTCACTGCGCTACGTGCCCACGGCCGGCAAGCTGACCGTCGTTATTTTAGAGGCCAAGAACCTGAAGAAGATGGACGTGGGTGGCTTATCGGGTGAGCAGCAATGGAGGGCGGGGGCTTTAGCAAGGAAGTGGGTTAGCCTATAGTATTCCAGAGATGTCAGAAAAGACAGTCCTGTGATCCATTCAGAGCTGCCATCTCAAATAAGTCCCGGACTGTCTGTTGAGTCACAGCCAAGCATGGGAGCACACCATGAATAAGAAAGTAATTTCCGTTATGATGCTGCACATCCTGTGTTATGGTTTTCCCACACTTTTGGTCAGGATTTTCTGGGAGCGGACCGCCTTCAGAGTTCACACAGTTGGGGTCGGATGAAACAGTAGGGATTTCAGAGTCTCATCAAGTCCTTACTGTTAGAAACATTGGTTAGATTTAATTCTGTACTTTTGTAAGTTGCGTCTTTTTTGTGAAGGCTGGGTGAGCCAGTCTCTGGAGCCATTCGAGGCTAAGGGCCTCCCACAAGGGCCCATTGGTGACGGCAGTCTACCGGTCCTGGGATTTGAACCTTCCGATCACCAGAACTGTGTCTCAGCATGCTGAGCTGTGCCCTGCTGATTTACCATTAGCCCTTGTTTAAAGTTTTAAAAACTGCTTTCAAAATAATGACTCCCTTGTCCAGCTTTTTTCCCCATCAGCAAGCTGGATTAAAAGATAACATTGATTATGTGACATATACAGCCAGTATCCATCCATTTAACATAACTGCTGATTCAGTGCAGAATCATTATGAGTCTGGAGCCTATATCGGGTAGCACAGGGTACAAAGCTAAGGACACCCTGAACGGGATGCCAGTCCATCACGGGGCACAAAGCAGGGGACACCCTGAACGGGATGCCAGTCCATCACGGGACACAAAGCAGGGGACACCCTGAACGGGATGCCAGTCCATCACGGGA